GAAAAATCCATGTAAATATCTAAGTAAAATATGTGGTGATAAATATGGTAATGTGTCAAGAAAAATATGTGGTCTTATAAAGTCCATCTAGAGTATTCTAGGAAAATATCTTGTCAAATGAGCGGTCTAAAAGGCTTATGTAAATGTGGTCTAGGATTCTCTAGAAAAATGTGTGGGCTAGAATTTTTATGTAAACACTATATAAAGGGATAATGTCCTCCATTTTGTAACAAGCCAAAAGAGTGTTTAAGTTTTGAAGTTGAGAAATGCAAGTTTCATTTTGTTCACTTCTTTCTTCCTATTAGTGTTGTCCTCCTTAAAAACCTTAATCAATCCAAGTTAGTAAACTCTTCTTTCCTCCAACAAACTGGTATCAAAGCCCTAAGGTTCTTGTGAAAAATTGCAAGTGGGATGATTCATTTTCAAGTCCCCCAACTCAATAAGGATAATTACGATAATTGGAATATAAGGATGAAAGCATTGCTCGGGTCGTAAAATGCATGGGAGATCGTAGAGAAAGGCTACACAGAGCCACAAGACGAGGTCACTCTTTCCCAAGCACAAATGGATAGTTTGAAGGATGCAAGGAAGAGAGACAAGAAGACGCTCACCCTCATCTATCAAGCCTTAGATGAAGGCATGTTCGAGAAAGTAGCTTGTGTTACTATGAGGAAGGAAGCATGGGAGATCTTGTAAAACTCCCACGAAGGAGTTAAGAAGGTAAAAAATGTTCGACTCCAAACACTTCGAGGTGAGTTTGAAGCTTTACATATCAAAGAACCAAAATCAATTTCTAATTATTTCTCCAGACTATTGGCTATTGTGAATCAATTAAAGAGGAATGGAGAAAAGTTGAACCACACTCGAGTAATTGAGAAGATACTTAGGCCTTTAGATTCTAAATTTGACTATATAGTTGTAGCCATTGAGGATTCTAAAGATCTAGATAGTATGAGTGTCGATCAACTCATGGGATCGTAAAAACCTATCAGGAAAGATTAAAGAGGAAGGTGAAAGAAGAGCCATTAGAGCATGCTCTTCAAACAAAGCTCACTTTGAACGAGGGGTGACGGAAGGTTCAACAATAGAAGAAGCCAAAAAGGAAGAGGATGAGGTCAAGATCGAGAAAGAAGTGCATTCTACAAGGAGGAAAGAAGACCAAGCTCATTTTCCACCAGAGGTTGTGGAAGAGGAAAATGTATGAGGCAAAGTGAGGGGCCAAGGTATGACAAATCTCAAATTAAATGTTAAAATTGTCAAAAACTTGGTCATTATGCTTCAGAATGTAGAAATATTACTAACCAAGTTGAGGAGAAAGCAAACTACGCTTGTCGGGAAAGTGAAGTGGATCATGCACTACTGTTGGCTTACAAAGGTGAAGAGAGCAGATAAAAGAACACTTGGTATTTGGATACAGGAGCAAGCAACCATATGTGGAAAAAAATATGTTTGTGGAGTTTGATGAATCGGTAAGCGAAAATGTTACCTTTGGAGATGAACCCAAGATCCCAATAAAAGGAAAATGTAAAATCTTGATCAGCTTGAAAAATAGTACGCATCAATTTATCTCAAATATCTATTATGTGCCCAATATGAAGAATAACATTTTATGTTTGGAACAATTCTTAGAGAATGATTATGATATTCATTTGAAAGATCACAGTCTTTCAATAAGAGATCAAATAGAAAATTTGATTGCCAAGGTCACTATGACAAGAAATAGAATGTTTGCGTTAAATATTCAAAATGATGTTGTTAAATGCTTAAAAGCTTGTTTTAAAGATTCATCTTGGCTTTGATACTTAAGATTTGGACATCTTAATTTTGGAGTCTTAAAGTTATTGAGTAAGAAGAAGATGGTGAAAGGTTTGCCTCCAATAAATTATGCGGATCAATTAAGTAAAGTATGCTTACTTGGAAAGTATTCGAGGAAAAGTTTTCCAAAAGTAGGATCTACAAGAGTTAAGAAGCCGCTAGAACTTGTACACTCGGATGTTTGTGGGCCAATCAATCCAAGCTCTCTTAGTAAGAACAATTACTTTGTTCTTTTTATTGATGATTTTAGTAGAAAGATTTGGGTCTATTTTCTCAAACAAAAATCGAAAGTTTTTAGAACTTCCAAAATGTTTAAAGCTCTTATTGAAAGAAAGTGACTATAGCATAAAAGCCATGAGATCAGATAGAGAAGGAGAATTCACCTCCAAAGAATTTGAGAAATATTGTGAGGAAAATGAAATTTGTCACCCATTGACGGTTCCATACTCTCCACAACAAAATAGAGTAGCCAAAAGAAAGAATAGATCCATTCTTAACATGGCCCGCTGCATGTTCAAAAGTAAGAGATTGCCCAAAGAACTTTGGGCCGAAACTGTTAATTGCACCGTGTATCTGTCTAATCGATCGCCTTCTAGAAGTGTGTGGAATAAGATACTACAAGAAGCATGGAGTGGAACAAAGCCCAGCATCTCTCACCTACGAGTATTTGGGAGCATTGCATATGCTCATGTACCAGATTAAAAGCGGTCCAAGTTAGATGACAAAAGGGAAAGGTATGTCTTTATCGGCTATGACTCTCGCTCTAAAGGCTACAAGTTGTATAATCCAAGCAAGGCAAAGATCATTATAAGTAGAGATGTTGAGTTTGATGAAGAAGAAGTTTGGGATTGGGGTGTCTAAGAAGAAGACTATGACTTCTTACCATTCTTTGAGGAAGAAAAACAAGAGAATGGAGAGCAATAAGAGCTTATCAGTCCACCTTTATCACCTACTCATAGAGATGCTTCTCCATCATCTTCACGAGGAGAAAGCTCAAGCGAAAGGACACCACGGATGAGGAGCCTACAAGAGCTAAATGAGGTAATAGAAAACCAAAATGATCTCACACTCTTTTGTCTTTTTGCCGACTGTGAGCCAATAGGGTATGAAGAAGCGGCGCAAAATAAAAGATGGAGAAATGTCATGGATGAAGAAATTAAGGTTATTCAGAAAAATAACACGTGAGAGCTGACGACTCTTCCCAAAGGAAAAAGTGTAATTGGAGTTAAATGGGTGTACAAGGAAAAGAAAAGTGCTAAAGGAGAAGTGGAGATATATAAAGCAAGATTGATTGCTAAAAGATACAACCAACAGTCGAGAATCGATTATGAAGGGGTATTTGCTCCTGTTGCTCGTTTAGAAACCATAAGATTAATCATCTCTTTTGCAACTCAAAATAAGTGGAAGATATTTCAAATGAACGTGAAATCGACTTTTCTAAATGATTATCTTGAAGAAG